ACTTTGATTGTGTCTAATGATGTTCATCAGGGCTGCTTATAGAGGGTTGGCCTTGTGTGTCTATGTGTAGTTGCCTGTTAATGACTTGCAGCTTATTTGACCTCCAGGAAGCCTTTGGGAGAGAAAAGCCAGTTGACCTTCCACTTGACCTGCAATTACACACACCGTGACCCTCTTCAAAGGAACAATGCCGCCTTGAGTCGATGCCTCACAACAAAAGTCCCCTGGGGACAGGAATGCACTTTATTGTCTTATTTATGTGATCCTGGCACCGTGTCATCTTCTGAGTGGATTGCACTATTATCAGAACGAATACACAGGTATTTAGAAATGCTGCCTCATGTCTTCTTGTTGTCTAAGCTGGAAGGTTTGTCAATGAAGAATATCAGCAGAGATTCCATGCTTTTAAGAGTCGATGCTAAATGTATTTACACCGGCTACACAGCTCTGTCCTTCACTTTTGCAACTGCCTTGTCCATACTGCCTCATCATTAGGAAACACTGCAGACTGTTCATTACTATGCAGATGACACCCTATGTTTTATCTATAAAGTTAGAGCAAACGATTTAGTTGCTAAAACTTCAAGCATGTCCTGAGTAAGGCCCAGCTGGCCTGTAATTGTCTGCTTCTACATTCAGATGAAAATGAAGTCATAGTATCTGGCGTTAAACACCTCAGAAACTCACTATCTTGGCCTTCAAGACTCCAGTGAGGACATCTCTAGGATGCCCTTCTTTCACCTTCCCCAAAATTGGGAACATCCTATTTCAGAATGATGCTGGAAAGCTAGTTAATACATTTGGAACTTCCAGGCTGGACTATTGTAATTCCTTAATATCAGGATGTCCCAATAACTCTCTGAAAACCCTTCAGTTGATCCCAAATGCTGCAGTCAGAGCTCTGACATGAACTGTCCACAGAAATTATATTTCACATATATTATCTTGTCCCACTGACTCCCTGCAAACTCAGTGATAGATTCTAAATCCTTGTTGTTCTATATTATCCCAACAGAGCACTTCAAGTGTGACAGAGTGCCGGCTTACTTTTGGTTCTTAGAGTTTCCAAAAGCTAAACGTGAGGCAGATCTTTCAGTTATCAGGCTCCTGTCCTGTGGAACCAGCTCCCGGTTTGGGTTCAGCAGGCAGACACCCTTTATTTACTTTTAAGATTAGGTTTGAAACTTTCTTTTTTGATAAAGCTTATAGTTAGGGCTGCTCAGGTGACCCTGAACACCTCTTATCTATGCTGCTATAGTCCTAGGCTGCTATGGTCTTTCCATTATGCACCGCACACCTCTCCTCGACTCTCCTCTTTCTATCTCTACATGTTTAAATACCAACACTGCATGTCACTAACTTTGTGTCTGTTTTGTTGTCTCTGCAGGTACCTCTGACTGTGGTACTACATGTTTCTGATCTGCAGTTACCGACTTCACCATCTTCCTTAGTGTTTGCTTTACTCGTACGCGTTGTTTATCTGATTCCTCTCTGCTTTCCATTTCTTTCTCTTCTCTACCGTGTCATTGAGGCAGATGACCACCGTCTCTGTCAGAGGTTTCTTCCTGTTTAAGGGAAGTTTTTTTTCATCCTACTGTCACCACTGCGTTTGCTCAAAGGGAATCATTTCATTTGTTGGGTTTCTCTCACCAATTTTGTAGCAAGGAGATTATTCACTATGTGAAGCAATCTCATATGTGAAGTGCCTTGAGGTGATTATTTCATGAATTGGTGCGATATAAAAAAAAAAAAAAACGGGAACGGAATTGAACAGAATATCAACCCAGCAAATTAGTGATGAAGTGAACATGAGGTCTATAGCTCCACTGGTTAATAATAATAAAAGATAATATATACTGTGCTAATTTTACGTAATTTTTTTTTGATACACTTCATACGTGTGATCTAGATAATGTAATGACGTCCATTAAAAGTGTAATGACCAAGGTCCTCAGTGTCTTTTCTGTTCTGAAGTGTCATTGCCTAATTATGACATATTGTGAAGATTATAAAAGAAATTACACAAAAATATCCAAGCATTTCAGAACAGATTTTTTTTTCTTGTCATTATTTAGATTTTAAACCTAGTGTTGGTCACTATAAGGTGTAGGCCCAAATCTAACCCCAACCTGCGACCCAGTTTTCCAATATCGTCAGCTGTCTGGGCAACTGTGGCCCAGATGGTAGAGCGAGTTGTCCACCAATCGCAAGGTTGGCGGTTCGATCCCCTGTCCCTCCACAGTGGAAGTGTTCCTTGGGCAAGTCACTGAACCTGAAGTTGCCCCCAGTGGCAGGCTGCACCTTGCATGACAGCTCTGTCACCATTGGTGTATGAATGTGATCTTCTCTCAGATGTACGTCGCTTTGGATAAAAGCATCTGCTTAATGAAATTGTAAATTGTCTTGATTTTAATTTTAACACCTGATTGCCAGAATAATTAACAATCTAACTGCTGGGTGAGCCCATAGACCAGGGGTGTCCAATCCTGGTCCTCGAGGGCCGCAATCCTGCATGGTTTAGATGTTTCCCTCTTCCAACACACCTGATTCAAATGATCAGCTCATCATCAAGCTCTGCAGAAGCCTGATAATGATCCTGATCATTTGAATCAGGTGTGTTGGAAGAGGGAAACATCTAAAACATGCAGGATTGCGGCCCTCGAGGACCAGGATTGGAGACCCCTGCCATAGACTTTTGACCCGCCTGATGTTTTAAATCAGCAGTTTTTCTCGAAGAAAGAAAAATTCAAATGAAAAACATTTCTTTGTCTCCTAGAAACTGAGCTCAATTTAACATTTAATTTCTCATTCTCCTTAAACGTGGCTTTTTCAATCCTGTTAGGTGGAAAAAGCCAGAATTAAGTAATCTCCAAATAAGAAGATGATTTATGAGTGATGGGACACAGGAAAGACTACGGTGAGCAGTAAAATGTTTCTTTGGGAAGCAGTTTCACGTGGCTGCTGTCAAAGGATTCATTACAAACTGCAGGAAGGTTGTTTTAATGACCTTTTAAAGATGTAACTGGTCATTTAATCCATACAATGTGAGCAGAGAAGCAGAGGTTTTGGCTGTGCAGAGAGGATGATTAAAATATGCAAACTGCCCCCCTAACACACGGCGCTTACTCTTTCTTCAATGGCTCACGCATGCAGGTGTCTCCTGTATATTATTAAGCTTGCCAATGCAGATGATGGGAATTGTAATAAGCTTTAAGAGGTAAACAGCCATAGTCTGAATCCCTGTGGGTTCCTCTGTCCTTCTCTCAATGCTTTGAAGGTTATTCAGTGGGCTAACAGATGGCCACTGTAGAGACTGTTTGTGTATTTGTGTGTGAGTGAGAGTGTGCCTGTGCACTGTATAAGCATGCTGAGGTTAAGCAGTATCAGGAAGGTCCCGCATGTGGCACCTCTTATCTCTATTCTGACTGATACAGTTTGCCCAGGGGCTGGAGAGCGGTCGCTCTTTAGACGTACACACTCATAAATGGACACATTCATGAATAAACATAATGAACGTGCACACTCACCTGCCTCGCAATTGATTATCGGTGCTGTGCTCCACTTGATCCTCACAAGGCAGAGAGAAAACACAAACAGGCAGCGAAGAGTGATCATTTATCTCACAGCCGACTCATTTTACTTGACCTTTTTTTTTTTAACTGACCTTTTCACTTCAAGCGAAACACAGCTCTGTTCAACCAAAAGCCAGGCAGCTATTGAACAGAATTATCATTTCATCTACAAGAAAACAATTAGCATACACAGCAGCGGAGAGCAGTGCTTTTGAGATCCATGTGCGCCTTCTACACACAACATGCTTTCATCCCATTTGACCTCTGTGGGTTTATTTTAATGAATCATGGACATATGGAGCAAAGCATAATCACTGGCACAAGTTTAATTATGGTTCCCTGAAATTAGCTTGCCGAGGGGCTGATGTCTTACTATTTTCCACTCTTTACATATGTGATGATATGTAACACATTTACACCATTTATCGATATTATACTCACAGCAATTAATTAACAACAGACATACTTTGGCAACTGATGTTGATTTTGATTTTTTCCTTTAAAGGTGAAAGCTGCAGGAATCTCATGCGAATCGCTGCGATAAACGCAATCTGTTCTGTGTGACTCCTTGTTTCCCCAAATCTATACTATGAAGAGGTGCAGAATGCAAACATACCACATCCCACAATATTCCCATTACAGTGAACTACACCACACAAAATGCCCCTTTTTCCACAATTTGCAATTATTCATTAAATATTTTGGTCATGACTGACTCCATGACTCCATGTTTTAGCCCTGCTGATTTTGAGAAGCCTAAGTGTGAACAACTACTTATAAGAGGTTTCTAGTGAGTAGGACAGCAACTCTTAGCCAAGGCTTATTGATCTGGTGACCACACATTAGGCCATTGCCAGCCAGGCCTAATTTTCCCACCAGTGTACCAGAGACAATCGTGAACCTAGGTAACTACTGTTGCATGCCGACCACATGGCTTTCTGACATCACTCCGTCCAGCGTCAACAAATGCTTCATCACCGAAAGCCTGCTTTTAAAACGTTGCTGCCTTGTTTTTTGTGCTTGTCACTTGATTTTCATTTTGGTTTAGAGCCTACCATGAATACGTTTTGCTTGTGTGAACGAGACAAAGCCCATGCAAATTCAAATCCTTTAGTGAGCTCAGTGACACCTGCTAAAGAAACAGCCACAGAAAACATTCACAGCTTGGACTACAGAGCAGTGGTCATGGAAAGAATCACCTTTCTCATTCTTTTTTGCGTTGTTATTGAGGGGAATATTGGAAAACACATTTATATCACGCAGAGATTGAATTGGAATGCTGCTCAGGCTTACTGTCGACAATATCACACTGATCTTTCCTATTTTAATAGACAGAGCGATATAGACAAGCTACCAAAAAATGCAAGTGGAGTGATTTCTCATGGATGGATCGGACTTCACCGAGACCCCAACAACAACACTGCTTGGATGTGGTCAGGAGGGGGACACATTACATACAAGAACTGGGCTGCCAATCAACCAAATAATTATAGGGGCAATCAGAACAGAGGAGTCATCAGATCTGATAGACAATGGAATGACCTCAGCGGTAAACGGTCTTACCATTTTTATTGCATCGATGTGACTGTGGTGGAGGAGAAGATGTCCTGGGAGGACGCTCTGAGTCACTGCAGAGAGAAACAAACTGATCTCCCCAGTCTGATCTCTATAACCGACCTCTTTCTGACCCAGACTGGGATCAACCACATCACTGAGCGGGTGTGGATCGGCCTGCGTTTCCTGGGTGACCGCTGGATGTGGGTCAACGGTGACCCTCTGGAATATGAGGCCTGGTCCCAAGCAGGAGGTCAAGACCACCAGTGTCCAATAAGGAAACGCTGTGGAGCTTTAACCAAAGAGGGACTGTGGGAGAACTGGGACTGTGAAGACAAACTCAACTTCATCTGCACCTGACACATTCTGAAGAAATAACATATGAACATATACTTACAGTGATATTGATATTGTATAAATTTATCTAATCTTTTTTTTTTGTTGTGCTGTTATATTCATTTTTTTTTGTACTTGTCAGATGAAATGTTTCTTATATTGTGATTTAAATTAGCATACACTGTCAGGCCTTTGAATAGATCAGTGATTTTCAAAATACCCTCTGGTTACATTGCTGTAGAATAAGTTTGTTGTTTTCAAAATTGCAAGCACAGAAGAAAATCTAAGTCCTTTTTTTTTTACTTTCTATAATTGATTTTAATTATTGATTCTTATTTCTTATGTGGTGGCTTGTACTTGTCAGGTAGTGTTTCGGTTGTTTCATGACCTCGTCTTCTGATTTAATTTAGAAAACACTGTGAGGGTTTTGGATGTATCAGTGATTTTCAAAACATCCTCTGGTGACGTTGTAGAATTAAGTTTACAGTTAACATCAATAAATAAGTAACATATTAGTCCTAAGTATGTGTCATTTGTAATGAACAGCTGGGGATCCCCTTAGACCTATAAATAATGCCATTTAACATTTAAATACTTTTCATGACCAACGAAATCGGTCGTGATTTGACATCAAGTCTGTGTTCATACTCGTCTCATAAATACTGAATCTTACATCAAAACTGTGTTAACCTGAACAGTCTGAACAAATTAACTGAAAACGTTTCTTTAATGATGAAAAAACATTGATCCATCAGGCATCTGGAAATTGTACCCAAGAAGGATAAAACGCAGAAAAGCGTGTGTTATCTCCAGTGCAGAAAGTCATCTTTGTCTGCTAAAGTGGAGTAATGTAGTAGAGAGACTGGTATCCTGGTAGCAGTCATAGAAGAGTGTGGGGTTTTGTTGTTGTTGTTTTTAAATGAGGGTAAAAGGGAAAGGGAAATTTGCAACCCAGTGTCAGAAAAAAAGAGCAGAAGATTGTTGAGGAGAGAAATTGAGGTAACAGAAAATGACATCCCAATGCCAGCAAAGTGTGCACAAGACTGTCACAGTGAGAGATAGTGGTTTGTGAAACTGGTTTCCCAGTGTGAGAATTTTGAGCAGAAGAATGTCATTGTGGGGATTATAGGTGGAAGAATGGTGCGTTCTGGTGCCAGAAAAGTGTCTGATGATCTGTTGAGAAAAACTGACTTCTTAAGGCTCGGAGTGAGAGCACATCATGTTTCAAATGGGAGATGGACATTAGTGAAACAGGCATCACAGCACAATCACAATGGTGATTTGGAATTAAGGTGATTTAAATCAGGGCTGCAAGGTGGAACAGTTGGTTAACACTGTTGCCTCACAGCAAGAAGGTCGCCGGTTCGCGTCCCGGTGGGGGCACC